ATTTTAGTCCCCGAACTTTGGATCCCTTACAATTTAGCCCTTTCTTCAAATTTGTCAACTTTTGCTTATTTTCTTCGATCTCACCAACTTACATCACAACATCAAAATCACACATCTAATTATTTATCAATTACATAACATTACATCATTAATTATTTAATTAACCAAAAAAATTACATCTTTATTAATAACAAATTAATTTTTAAACAAAACTATTAAATATAAACTAGGCAAACGTGCATTGCACGTTGTTTGCACCTAGTAATGCTTAGAAGAATGTAAAAAAGGGTTAATGATGAGGGACAATAATTGTCCTTATAAATAATCCATTCATAGATCCGTTAAAAATCTTTAATGTTCCCGTTTACATTCATGAATACAGCCGTCTTCTTCACCCCACCGTTTATGCAACTATTATACGTAAATATCATCAATGCATATAAAGTGGGAGACATAGACATTTTGAGTTAGGAGAACAATTAAACTTGATTGTTGATCATTGACCATCGACAATCATCGATCGTAAAAGCGAGTCGTTTATTAATATTTAATTAAATAATATTTATTATTATTTAATATATGTGTATATGCACTAAAATGTGAAATTTATATATATATGAAAATATAATTCAATACAATCCAAACGTAAGTATGCCATCCTAACATCATATCTGATATTAGGATCATATGACTCGACGGGAGATGTTTTCTTATATCAGAAACAAGATAATCCACATTAATTTGAGCTCGAGATTTCTTTGTGTTATTTAACAATTCATGTGCGCGATTAGAAGTAGTGGCGGGACTAGATGCACAGCTAGAAGTAGAAGAATCAGGCATGAACTTCTGTTTCGATTGAAAAAATCGTTCCATAATCTGCAAAAATCTCTTCAATTAAAATGGTATCAATTTAATAAGTAATAAATAGTTAAAACTTAAAATCACTCCAAGTCTCCAACAATTCAACACTCGTTACACTCCAACTGTCCAGTTCGACAACATGCAACATCTTGACAAATCACAAATTCATCCATAGTTTTCACTTTTCACTAATCAATACTCACTTGTTACTAGTGTAGAATATAATTCACAAATCGAAACGACATCAATTCATATTTCTCTCCTCGTAAAACTATAAAAGGCCAAAGATGAGTCAGCCTACTACTAATGGGTGAAAAATTGAAAATTAAAATGCTAATTTTCTGAATTCTTATTGTTTTCTTCAAATTCATAAATGTATTCACACACAAAAAAAATAAAAAAAACTGAAACAGAAACGAAAACTGCAAATCGAGAAGAAAAGGCCAAAACAAAAGGGCCCAAACTAAAAAAATGAGAGGCCCAAACCGAAAATATGGCCTTCTTCTTCCANAGTGGGGCTCGGCTCGAGCCTGGGCTCGGTTCCACCGAGCCGGGCCCGGCTCGGGCTTTTTCCGAGCCGAGCCCGGGCCGTCCGAGCCTCCGAGCTTTTTTGCCACCGCTACGCCCGACAGTATTAAAGACTCCGACAAATCCAGTAAGGATGGCCGCACACCATCGTCGGATGTTGAATCCGCCCCCGATCTCCAGCATTTATCCAATTTGCAGTTTCTGTTTTATTTTGTTAGACAAAAACATAATATTATTACACATTTTTAAAACTGAGCATTTCACCGGTGATTGTTCTCTATTTTGCCACCAATCAAACCCAAAATGGTTATATATTTTAATATTTTTTTAGAATTTTAGTTTCATAATTCCAAGACCACGCCTGGGTGATAACTGAAATGGAACAAATTAGTGTTATGAATCAATAATGTCTACCATAAAAAATGGTATACCGTATAAGATTAGCCATGCCGCTGACACTGTACTAACAAGCTAAACTATAACAATAATATTAATGCTAGATGTACCTAATATGCTTCACGGGTACTTTACATAATTTTTAATTCGATGAGGTGGCTTTTTACTTTTACTTAAAAAATAAAATATACCATTGTTCATTCACTCTTTCTCTCTCTACAGTGCTCACGTAAAAATATTATAAATTCATTAAATATATGATGTTTTTATCTTAATTTTCATAGTCATTACAAGACGTCAAAAGAAATTGAAATATTACATTCTTAGAGCTTGTTTGGTAGAAATTAAAATCGGATTAAAATTGAAAAACTAGTCATTATTGTTGACTTTTATTAGACGAGTGAAATCCAATAACGACTGTATTTTCAATTTTATTTCCTCACAAACAAGCTCTTAATACCATTTCGAAACTCACAACTAGTTTATCACATTGTTAATGGTGCATAAAACGACCAATCGTTGTAAATGTTACGACGCGTCAAAGTAAGTTGTTTCAAACTAACATTTCTAGAATTTCGATACTTTGCTAGCTTTAAAAATTTTTCGACGATCGTACGTTAGTCAAATCTATAAATCATCTACGTCATCTCGAAACTCATTTCGAGAACTATATCAAAGACATATTGAACTATATTAAAAAAATTTCTTTAGAAAATTTTACATAGGGTATGGCGTCAAAATTTTAAGATATAAAAAAATTATTATGAGATTTTCGGATGTAAAAATAATCACAAGGAATACTCCATATAAAGTAATAAAAATTTTGTTAGTAATTTTTACAGCCATAATTTTTCCTACTAAGACACTTTCCCATTGAAAAAAAATTTATTAGGAACTTTTCGAGTAAAAATATTTGAGAGAAAAAAGTAGTATAACGATTCATACCTCATATAAAGTAACAAAAATTTTATTCGAATTTTTTTTACGCTATACCCTATGTAAAATTTCGTAATAAAATGATGTAAATTATATTGAGAAAATCGTAACTCAAAAATAATAAATGTTAATTTAAAAATATGAGTTAAACGTTTCGTTTTAAGATGCACGTTTGACGCACGTCTAACTTTTTTCGATATTCATTATTTCATTTGGACAATTCGATATGTCAATAATGTAGTTCTTGAAATGAGCTTCAAGATAACGTAGGCGATTTATGGATTCAACTAACATACAAACGTCGAAAAATTTTAAAAGTTAGCATGTTATCGAAATTTTTGAAATTTTAATTTGGAACAACTTATTTTGATGCACCGTAACACTTATTACGATTGGTCGTTTCACACGCCATTAATGATGTGAAAAACTAGGTCGTGAGCACTTTAAAATTGTATTAAAAATGTAATATTTCGACTTTATTTGACGTTTTGTAATACCCTTAAATTTAGAGTAATGCTATTTGCAGTCACTCACTACAGTAGTCGCTCTACGTGGCATACACATGGCAAGTGATTATTTGATGCATTAATGGATGCATAAATATGGTAGTTTTTTGTTGACTAATGCATCAAATAATCACATGTCATGTGTATGCCACGTAGGCCGACTACCGTAGTGAGCGACTGCAAATAGTATTACTCTTAAATTTAAGAAAATTACAAATTTACTGCAAATAGCATTTCCCATCATATCACTATTCAAAAATCAATTTTTCCCCAAAAAATCCATACGAAACACACTCTAAGCTAGTGCAGGTCAGCATGGATGGATTCAAGACCAGATTTCAGGTCAGACTAATACGTAAAAATAAAATAAAATTACACATGAATTTTTTTTTTCGAACTAAAAAAAATCAGTTGGGCAGCGGCTGCAGCCCCCTCTCCAACGGTCCTAAGCTGGTGGGTTACGTGATCCACCAGGCCCATGGTAGCTCCACCCCTGTACAATATACATATACAGTGAGAAAGAGACGAGGAATCAACTTTTTTTCACCGATATGAGTAAAATAAAGGCTCATCGCACAAAAATAATATTTACAAATATTAGGCAAATATGATTGAAATGTTATGATTATGCATACACTGCGTTATATACCAAATTTAATGCGGTTCGAGTTAGGCAAAGGCCCGATGAACTTTGAATGTCCAAAGCCACTAATGAAATTGTTATACCTAAATTTGTTAGGTAACTTTTTGGTTTTTTCACGTAGACTTAATTGCGACCCATATGTTTATGCTTGCAAGTTGTACGCATTTTCAAAGTACCAATGTGTCTATCTAACTCGATCGAACAATTTAAAACATTAGAATGAACTTAAAGTATATTATGAGATTTTATTTACACTCTCGCAGGCTCTTAACCACTATTTGATTCGGCTAAAAATTAAATTTTTAGTATATTTCGAGAAAAGTAGATGAAATTTGTGATTCGAAATTTGATAAAAATACAAGTTCCATAAAATATATAATTAAAAACGAATTTGAAAAAATCAAATTTAAAAAAATTAGGGCCAAATAGTGATTTAACCCGACATTTAGCCCTTATTTGGTAGAAATTTTAATTTAAATTAGAGTCAACAATTAATTCGAATCATATGTTTATAAGATCTGTACGTTTTCAATCATATATTTTATTAACTTTTATTAAATTATACTTAAAATCCGGTTTAAAGAGTTGCGTGATGCCTACGTGAGACTCGAGAAAGGCCAGTACAAGGTCAATTCTTTAGGCCCCCAAGAAATTTCCATGCAGCTTCCTGCATTCGGAAGGTTTACCTAATAAATCAACTTCTGCTTCTACCTAGCAATTTCGCGGCAATTTCATTGCCTCAACTTTCCAAGACTGATGATACATGCCCTACATTTTCCTCTAGCCTTTTTCCCTGCGAATCTTGTTACACAATACTCGATCCTGATCCCTATATATTAAGGGTCACAAACTCCTCTTTGAGTCGCAAAAATGGAACCCATTAAAATTTCCAAATCTTTTCGTAGTTTTTCTCCTAAGAAGCTTACATTGAGCTTACTAAAACCCAGATCAAGATCCTTAAACTCTCCTAGGACTCCGAAATCACCAATTATGACACCACGAAGAAACTCGAGCAGTATCAACTCAAGAGAGGAGGAATTCAAGGAAGTTTTTCGACGTTTTGACGGTGATAATGATGGAAAAATTTCTGCATATGAACTAAGATCTTATTTTGGATCCGTAGGTGAGCATATGTCACACGAGGATGCTGAAATAGTGATCAATAATCTTGATACAGATAAGGATAATTTTCTTGATTTTCAAGATTTTATGAAACTAATGGAGAAAGAAAGTGAAGAGGAGGATTTGAAAAGGGCTTTCGAAATATTTGAATTGGAGAAAGGGTCGGGTCGGATTACGCCCAGAAGTTTGCAGAGGGTTCTGAGTCGATTAGGGGACTCGAAATCCTATGATGAGTGTGTGGCCATGATTCGAGTTTATGATATGGATGGTAATGGCGAGCTTGATTATCATGAATTTCAGCAAATGATGGTGGCTTGAATTTTGATTTAAGTTTTCTTAATTATATTATTAAGAAAATAATGCGGAAAAAAGTTTGATTTTTCGCCAATTAATTGTATAAATGGAATAAAGCATGCAAAACCATCTGCCCTGAACTACTGCAATCTGTGGACAGAAATTTAAGTGTTTTTTTTTTTTTTTTTAAAGTTTCGTCTGTAGTTTGTAAGTTTCTAAGGTGCTTATATTACATTAGCTAAAACTTAATTTTTTGTGTATGATTGATATATCGGTTTGAATAAAATTGTACGGAAATATGAAAGAAATATATGCTATACGATATATCGCTTATCCTTTTCGATTGGTTCAATTTAGCGTATCAAAAAGAAAATAAATAATCAAACACTGATCAAGGTCCATAATTCAAGGATAACTATGTATCAACCCGATGCAGTGTGGTTAGGGTTGGATATGGTCCGATTCAGTTGTAAAGAAAATCGAACCAAATCAAAATTTTTGGATATTTAGTAAGTGGAAAGTCGGATTCAAATTTAATTATGAAATCGAATAAAATCGATTTGGTTTAGTTCGATTCTATTTCATACCATAGTTTTTTTTTTTTAACTTTTACTACAATACTACATTAATCCAACAAATGACATTTTCAATTTTAAATCTTACAAAATAAATTGTCTAATAAGATTCATTCACCAATATATACAATTTATCAAAAAAAGAAATAATAGCACTAGAACATTGAAGATTCTTTGTTTCAAGCATTCAAATCTACTTGGGAGTTGGACTCGGCCTTTAGAGTTGAAATCTTGGACACTTACAATTAATAACATAATTAATTAATTGACATATTTATTTAGAAAAATTAAAATAATTTGAATTATTCAATATATATTTTTTTAAAAACATTTAGGGAAATTCGATTCTTGATCTAAAATCGAGAATTGAACCAAACTCGTCGATTATTGATTCTAGTACTCGTTCGGATATTTAATCTAAGAAGAACAGACCCCCTTGATTTGGCTTGATTCGAAAATTTTGTCTTGCCTCAATTGTCTTCAGTACTATAAGCCATACATCTTTTGTTATCCAGCATGCAAATACTTATTTCTCAATTGCAAACAACGCTTTTCAAGGTTTATCAACGTGTTAAGAACTCCGAACTCAGAATAGTAATCCCACCAAGGACATAGATGCTGGTACAAGAATTATCGTTCCATTAAGACGTGCTTGTCAAACAAAAATTCAAAGAGTTGAAGGGTTAAGTGAGACGAGCAGGTCGGTACGAGTCGAGCAAAGCAACAAAAACCTCGTATGAGCCGGTCGTCGGTTAGAACAAGTTAGCTAGCGAGTCACCTTCAGAAGTGAAAATGCAATTTTCAATTTAAAAATACACACACGACCCACAAGTCCCACCAAATGACTAGTCGAGTCGAGATTTTTGGAACAGGATAGTTCGTGCCTGGCTCATACCATATGCGAGCATGAGTAGCTCACGTAGCCAAGCAGCTCCGCTTGGTCCATTCCCAATTCCACTTCCATTTTCCGCCCCAAACAGTTCTATTTTCCTCCGCCTCCCAAAAATGAAATCCCCCCTCACTATTCCCCTTCACTCCCCACTCCCTCCCCCCCAAAATCCTAGGACTGGACATGGTCCTATTCGGTTCTCTTCAAAATCGAATTTAACCAAAATTTTCGGGTATTTAATAAATGGAACCGTTAGGTCCAAATATAATTATGGAACCATTCGGGTTCGATTCGGTTCCGTACCATAATCAAATTTTTAACAGATTTCTAATGGTCAACTATCGGCGATCGTGGCTGGAGGTCACGACTTCGATGGGCATTGAGAGGGGAAGTCGGACTTCGCAGTCGGCGATTTCAATTTGTGCATGAAGATGTAGGTTTTCAATTTATCAAAGAATTTGGGGTAATTGACTTGGTGGTTACCAAATGAAAGTGTGAAATTGGAAAGATAAGGATAAAAAAATTTAAAAAGACTTAGATCTTGGGCTGAGAATGAAATTAATGATTTGGGGTCATTGACTCAGTGGTTACCGAATGAAAGTGTGAAATTGGAAAGAGAATGATAAAAAAAACTTTAAAAGGCCTAGATATTAGGCTAAGAATGAAATTAATAATATGATCAAAAAATTAAATCAAAAAATTGAATTTAGAAATTGGGTTGGGTTGGGCTAGGTAGGCATAGACTTGGCTTGAGCTTTAGGACATTAATCACTAAATTAGTTAATTTTCTAAGTTGTTTAGAAAAATAAATAAAAAATTATTTAGGCTAGCTATGCATGGACTTGATTGGGAGTTAGAACATTAATCACCAAATTAATTAATTTGTTTAGAAAAAAATTAATTCAATAAAAAAATTATTTAAATTCGGTTCTTATTCTGTTCTAAATCTAGAAACGAGAATCGAACTGTACTCGTCGATTTTCGATTCAAATACCTATTCGAGTATTTAACTTATTAAAAACCGCTCGATTCAGTTCAGTTCGAGTTTGGTTCGATCTGGTTTGATTCAAGAGTTTTGTCCAACTCCAAATCTTCTCAAATCCAAAAAACCTCCTCTACTTAGACTTCCTTGGCATAGAGCCCAGATTTATGTTCTTCGTTGCTGCGCCACCATCTTTTCTCTCCCACCACCACCACCGCTACCACTTCTTCGTCTTCTTCTTCTTCTACGATCATCGGAAGCCTACCCAGAACCGTCGCACTCTAAGTGACGGCCTATTCTCTAACCGCTAATCACTCAACCCAACAATTAAACAAATCTCGAAGCAATCAAATACTAAATCTCATTTCCAATAGGAGCAGCTAGAGTCATCCCACCTCTGATTGATTTGCTTTGCCAGGGGACTCCAAGAGTGGAGAAGGATGCAACCACTGATATATTTAATCTTTTAACATATCGAGGAAACAAGGTGAGGGCCGTAAGGACGAGAAATTTACCACCACTTACTAAGAATTTTTGAATGGTTTTGTGAATGGAAAATGGTGGCTTCTGGGATTTGGACTTCAAGATTTCAAATTGTAATTTTTCTTGGTGGGTTAGGTGAGAGAGCGTTGGGTTGAAAGGAGAGCACGCACAATTTTTTAATGGGTTTTCTGTTATTTGAAAATCCAAGTGGAATAGTTCTTTTAACTTGGTAGCGGTGGTGCCTGGTGCTCGAATATGACTGTCAATTGATTGAATTTTGATATGAATCCGATCAAATTAATGGGAGATGGATTTAGGGTCTCAATCCGATAACTTGATCAAGATCCGAATCCGATAATCCNGTCGGTAAAATATTTTTATAACATATTATTTGTCACTAAAATAAATAAATGAGAAAATAAATAAATTTAGAATAAAAAAAGTAATCAAATTCAAAATATAAAAAAGTTGAAAATTTTATAATTATTAAACCTGTTTAAGAATTGGAAAATGTGAAAAAAAAATTTGATTTCAACTAATATTTTAAAAACCAACCCGGGCATCTACCCGGAAAAGGAAGATGGTCAAGGGTCAAAAGTCGAATTGAGGTTGAATCGGTATTGAACCAGTTGTCAAATTGAGTAAATAATTATACACATAAATGTAAAATATTATAAAAATAATAGATTTTTTTTTTAAATTTTAGTTTACTAATTTAAAGCAAATAAATATCTATATTTTTCTTAATTAAATTTATTATTGTAATTTATTTTACAATTTCAAAAACTAATAATTAATATGTAACGAATAATTTTGATTTGTTAATGGAAATAATGAAATAAAATATTTATATTTAGAATTGAAATTCAATTTTACCCTATCCCATATTGAATGTCTATAGAAAACTAGAAGATGATCTCTCTTTTAAAAAGGAATATCATGATGGTAGAAGTCACTAATGTGCTTGCTAGTAAAAATAAGTGGGTCTCAAGTTAGTTCAATTTTTTTAAAGAACGTTGATTTTTTTCTTAATTTTTATTAATTTCGGATCGGATTATCGGATCGAATATCGATAATATAGCAAATCGGATATAAATTTAATAATTAAATATTCGTTGGATTATCGGATCGGATCGGATATAGGTAGATCTGATACATATCCGATCAATTTACAGCCCTATGCTGGAAGAGTGAGAAAGAAAGTGATTTCTTTTAATAATGTATTCGAGATTCTTTTGTAATTTTTTTAAAACTTTTTTTTTCTTTTTGTTTTATTTAAATATGATAACATATTCATCATTTTACAACTTTTTATTTAGAAATTGGATGGAAATGATTATTTTCGTAAGGAAAAATTGCAGACATGGTACCAAATCTTTCATTTAGTAGTAGACTTTGTTCAAACTTTTTATTTGTGCCACACACGGTATCAAACCTTTCAAAATTTAGCAGTTGAAGGTCAAATGGATGGTGAACCGTTAGTTGATCGGAATAGTAAAAATTGACCAAACCTAAATAAGGGTAAAATAGTAAGTTTACAATTTTAATATAAAATAATTATAATAATTAGAAAAAAGTAAAAAAAAAAAAAAGAAGATTCTTCCTCTCCCACCCTGATCCAAATCCAAATTCCTTTTTTTTCTGCTATTTTTTTATTGGAGGAAGAGAGAACGTTAGAGGGGCAGATGCTATTTTTAGATCTGGATGTAATTTGAAGCAATAATCATTGATTTTTTCTCCTCAAATTGCTATGGGCTGTGACAAGGTTTTTTGCCTTTTTTTGTCTGAAGAGTTTCAGTTTCCAATTTCTTCAGTTTTTTTTTCCAATTAATGAAGCAACAATCATTGAATTTTTTTCTCCTCAAATTGTTATGGGTTGTGATGAGATATTTTCCTTTTTTCTGTTTGAAGAGTTTCATTTTCCAATTTCTTCAGCTTTTATGGTACCTTGATTTTTTGGAGTTTCAGTTTCTTCGTATTCTTTGGTTATAAGAATTTTAGTTTCATATTCTTGAATCCATGGATCAGGGTTATTGGCAAGGAAATTCATCCAACATACGGGGTGGGGTGGAAGGATATTTTTTTTTCTTTTTCTAATTATTATAATTATTTTATATTAAAATTGTAAACTTATTATTTTGCCCTTATTAGATTTCGTCAATTTTTACTATTCTGGTCAACTAACTGATAAATGGATAGTTTCCATCCATTTGGATTCCAGTTGCTACATTTTGAAAGATTTGGTACCGTGTGTGGCATAAATGAAAAGTTTGGGCAAAGTCTGTTATTAAATGAAAGGTTTGGTACCGTAGCTGTAATTTTCCCTTTTCATAACGAAAGGTGTAAATATGGATTGAAAAAAAAAAATGCAAGGTGAAAATGTTTTGCACAATGAAGTTCAAACATAAACACGTGATAATAACTCAATAATAAAATACTAATTAAGGCCCTATTTGGTACACATTACTTTTTTCGCTCTCATTCCTCTACTCATTTTCAATCATACATTTTTCAATAAAATAATATTTTTCATTACATCAATAACTTTTCCTTTATTTTTAACCACACATTCTTCATCAATCTACTATTCAATAATACATTCTTTCAAAAAAATGTGTCACAAACATACTCTAAGATCCTTAATTTAAGAATATGCATTGTGGCCAGTACAATCAGGCGAATACATCTTTTGTCATCCAGCATGGAAATACTTATTTCTCAATTGTAAACAACACTTTTTCAAGGTTTATCAACGTGACAAGAACTCCACGTTCAGAACCGTAGTCCCACCGGGAACTTAGATGTTGGCATGAGAATTATTGTTCCATTAAGATGAGCTTGTCCAACAAAGAGCTAAGGTGTTAAGTGGGAAGAGCTGCTTGGTGCAAGTCGAGCTGAACAAAGAAAACCTCGTGCGAGCCACTCATCAGCTAGAATGAGTTGGCTCGCAAGGCAAACCGAAACGAAAACCTCGTGCACCAAGGGGCGAGCTGAGCCAGGATTTTTGGAATGAGCCAACTCGCACTCGGCTTGTCCCATATGCAAGCACGAGCTGGCTTGCGCTCAGTTCAGAAATGCTGTTGACCGGCCAAAGGTTGCAATCACAGTACAGAATGTGTGAACAAGGATGGGATTCATTACACAGGCTGCAACACAGATTCTCACTGGAAAATACACTGATTTACCACTTGCAGACAAGATGCCTTTTCTCCTAAAACTATAATTCCAGAGGCGCGTATCTCTGCTTTACACGTTTCATATTTGCTTTAGCTTCCTGGATTATGACTTTCGATGTCCAGTGAAAATTCTATATGATAAGAACTATCAAAGGCTACTGACAGGAAAGAAAGCTAAAAGCCTAAAAGGATCTTGCATGAAACGAATTTACTGGTTTAAGGTTATAAAAATCAAGTATTCAATATGAACATTTGGTGAACATTTTATACATTCACTCAACTCTAAGAGAAATAAAAAATTCCGGATAAGAAAAAGATGTAATAATTTCATTTCTTTGAGACATAAGCATAGTATTGTGCCATAGGAACAACAAAAGCAATCACTAACAAACCTCCAACTACAAGGGTGAACTGCCCTCGTTTCTCTTCTGTCTCCTCCCTGGTTTTGAAGTTAGATTCTCTTTTGTTGTCCTTAAACTGGGGGCCACCAGGATCAGGGAGCCCGTCAATGGCAGCCACAAGCCGGTTGGCAGCACTAAATAGTGCTTCATTGTACTTCTCTTCCGTGGCTAGGACTACAAAAGATAATCAGCAATGTCATTGGGGATAGACTCCTAAAATGCTAATGATGATTATGTAGTATTTCAACATCATTCGCTTAAACGTGTGAGCCAGTATCATCCACCTAGGAAAATTTCATCCACTAGGGTCCATGAGTATAGAGATGCACTCAAAGTTAAAAAAAAAAAAAATTCCTGAATGCATGACAGAAAATATGGAAAAAGCAACTTAACATTCCAATGTAAGTTACAAAAGGCAAAATTTGATCTCTGCCAATGATGATCTTCAACTATTTCTCATACTTAAAATATCTGTTTATGCACGGTTAAAAACAATATTCAGTGTTAATGTGTAACCTCCCCAAATTGGTTGAACTTCATCATTTATCTACAAAAAGAGGAGAGAATTGTCTGAAGTGAGCACTTTTACAGTAGTTGAAGAATTCACAAAGACACTTTTTGATATCCTCCTCGAAATCCTCCTAATACTGCTAGTTTCATCCAGCTACAAAAAGGATTCGTGGAACTTTTAATATTCATCAAGAATAAACATGTCTGCTACTAGGGACGGACACAAGGGGTGGCCTAGGGGTCACGTGACCACCCAACTTCTGGGCATTGTTTTTTAAAATTTTCTTTGTGTCTCAATTTTAGAAGTCATTACGGGATACCACATGAAGTCGAAATATTGCATTTTTAATGCTATTTCGAAGTGTTCACAGCCTAGTCTTCTAAGTCATTAATGGCGCGCAAAACAGCCAACCGTGGCAAATATTACAGGTTGTCAAAGTAGGCCGTTTCAAACTAGTATTTCGAGAATTTCGATAACATGCTAATTTTAAAATTTCTCCGACAATCATACGCTATCCAAATCCACAAATCGCCAATGTCGTCTCGAAACTCATTTCAAGAACTATATCATAGACATATCGAATGGTTTAAACTAACATCGAAAATAGTTAAAATTGTGTTAAACGTGCGTCTTAAAAATAAGCGTCTAACTCGTCTTTTCTTCCAAAATTTTCAATTATTTCATTAACGTTTATTATTTTTGCCCCGACAAATTTCTCAATATAATTTACATAATTTTTTTTTGAAATTTTACATCCAAAAAAGTTATACCCCATGTACGTTTTCGGATATAAAATTGGGATGTAAATTTACACGTGGTATGATTTTTTTTTGGAGGTAAATTTTCGAATATAAAATTTCTTGCAACGTTTTTTGAAAGTTTCATCGTGCCCCTAACTCAAAAACTCTGCTTCTGCCCCTGTCTGGCAGCAGTGTGCACCTATATACTCAACTATCTATTCCTATCAATAACGTTTAGTACTGTCGTCACAATTTGTATAGAAATGAAAAAGACGTGATACCTGGAAGATTCTCCGATACCGTAGCATCAAGAATGGTATCACCAACAGCCTTGACAAAATCAGGGCCACCTGTAACTGCACCTTCCTTTTGACTGGTAACTAGTACAACTATGCCCTTGTTGGTGCCTTCTTCTACAGTTGGATACCAACGTTCGAGAACTTGGTCAGCATACTCAAATGCATCGGCTTTGCTCTTTGGTAAAGGACATGAACAAGTCAGTGTGGAAAACTAAATTTCAAGAATAATCGTGCCCCTTTCTAACAATTTATGTTTTTAGATACACATGCGGCCTCCCATTAATGCAAATTGTCATAATCTACCCAAAATAGAATCTAGAATGCAAGTGAGAGCACGTTTAAGACTAAATTTAAATAAATATATGTGTTTCCTTCCTAGACATTCTTAAATCTAAATACTAAAACCAACGAGCTATAACTTTATCACGGTACACTCCTGTGTTTGCGGACACCTACTAGAAACACTTACAGTGAGCTTGCGGACAGTGACAAAGTTAATGTGGTAGCCTTTTCTTGACTCCAAATCCGATAACAATCTCTTCAAATCAGACTTCGTTACGCGATTGAGCACACCTGCATCATCAACAACATATGTCTCCTTTGGTGGACCATCATTTAAAACATCAAATTCAGAAGCCAATGCAGATTCATTAGGTAGTATTGGGCAAAAGTTTAGGGCCAAAGAAATGGCAAGCGCAGCTAATCCCTGATGCACTTGAGAAAACCAACTTGTGGGTGTGGTAAAAGATTGTTTGACAGATTGTTTTTTGAGGGTGCAGCAAATGGGATTGGGCCAAGAACTTGTTTTGGGTTGGAGAGAGGGAGAGGAAAGAGAAGGAGCCTTGAAAAGTCGACAGAAAGAGTGAGGAGAGAGAATGGTTTCCATTGAAGAGAGAGAATTGAAGATAAGCAAAAATGGGGAGAAGATTTTGATCACAGGAAGACTTTTTTTTTTGGATTTTTATTTTCTTTGTATTTTTGTTTGGTTCATATTTTCGGGGAGTTTGAGATTTTTTGACTTGGAGGTTGATATGCGGATAACGTATACCATCAGTCGTGGAAATATTTTCAGTATGCCGGGGACATTATTTTCAGAGTTCAACTTTTCATTTTTAATTATATATTCACAAAAACTTTTTAATTATTACATCACAGTTTTATCGCATGTAAAAACTTTTAAATTTTACTTTATAATACTGATAGGAGAGTGCTAGACGTACTTACCCATTTACTACTTGCTTGGCTTCCAGTTGACGTGACCGTCTTTGACTATTCAACATAGAGAAAAAAAAAGAGGAAGAAAACCCCAATTAAATGTGCCAAAACACCCATTTCTACGAAGGACCAGTGCAGTGAAGAAACGCTCGGTGAAAAATGGCGCTACCCCAAAAGTTCGACGACTTGGACGACGGCACTTTCAGGTCGGCGAACCCTTTAATTTTCCCCCCATTTACTGACGCTCAGACAATCTCTAACGGAGATGAAGGGGAAGCCGGCAACTCCCACTCCGACAAATGTGACGCCGGCGACAACTTGGGTATGTTGTTTTCAATTTAATCGTCATCAAAGATCACAATTCATGTATCGTCACAATTGGATTTTCGGACTTTACCACTGGAGTTGTACCTGCTGAACAATTGGATTTTCGGACTTGGAGAATTCATGGGTCATTCCTTGCCAAACAACGTTTCCTTCATATAGAAATAACAGCTGTTGAACTGGAGGGGCTTGGGTATGGCGTGGGGTGGAGGTGGTGATGGTTGTTGCGATGGGGTGCAGGGGCTGGTAAACTATTTACTGGGCTTAACCTTTCTAGACTACTATGACTGCGAACTGATTGTAATTTTCGTAATGAATTTGAACTGATTGTAATTTTCCTAATGGCTTTGAAGTGATTGTAATTTTACAGTAGACACTGTAAATTTTGCAAATGTTAGACAATATATTCGTAATGGCTTTGAACTGATTGTATATTCGTAATGTTAGACAGTACATTCTTCAGGCAGTTACAAATTGTTCCATTGTCGTGAATGCAGGTTATGTAGAAATTAATTCATCCGAAGACGACAATCTAATTGATATGAGCTTAGGAGAAGAAACTGATATTCATGTGCTAGTGTTGGAATGAAGTTCGAAGATGAGAATGAGGTGTTCGAATTTTACAAGAAGTATGCGTACAATATCGATTTTTCGGTGAGGAGAAGATCTTCGAGGAAGGGTGATGATGGGGTTGTATGCTACGTCACTTTTACATGTAGTCGAGAGGGCTGTCGAATAAGTGGAACTAATGTACTTCTAAAGCCTCAACCAACAATGCAAACGGGCTGTAAGGCTAGATTGACGGCATTAAAAGATCTCAATGGCATATGGCGTGTTAACACTCTTATTTTGGAGCATAATCATAGAACAAGTCCGTCCAAATCAAGGATATATCAATGCAATCGAGAAATAAGTGTACGCACAAGAAAACAGCTTGAAATAAATGATATGGCTGGAATACCACTACATAAGAGTTTTAACTCAGTCGTGGTTGAAGTCGGTGGTTATGAGAAGATTACATATGTTGAGAAAGACGGTAGAAATTACATTGACAAATTTCGAAGATTACGACTTGGTGAAGAAGATGCTGTTGCAATACAAGCGTATTTTTCAAAGATGCAAGCAACTAGTCCTAGTTGCTTCTTCAGTATAGACTTGGATGACGAGGCCCGGCTGAAGAATGTATTTTGGGCAGATAACAGGTGCAGGCTAGCATGTAAGGAATTTGGCGACGTAGTTACATTTGATACCACGTACTTGACAAACAAGTACGAAATGCCTTTCGCTCCTTTTGTTGGGGTGAACCATCACAGGCAATCAACTCTACTTGGATGTGGTTTGGTCTCAAATGAAGATACAACTACTTTCGTATGGCTATTCAGGACATGGCTACAATGTATGCATGATCAAGCTCCAATTAGAATACTTACATATCAAGATCGTGCTAGGCAAAATGCAATAGAAATTGTGTTTTCGAACACAAAGCACAGATAGTACCTCTGGCATATTCTAAAAAAGTTAACGTTCGTTTTGATTTAATGCATTTCTATTTTCATATATTTTTTCTACTTGATTTAAAAAGGTAACGTTAATTGAAATAGGGAATATCAATATGTTCATACAAAAACAGTCAACATACCCCATTTGACATTCTTGTTCATAAAACCGAATTAGTACAATAAGTCGAGGTCATACAAACAAAATAATAAACATAATTCATATTCAATCTCTTGGAACTGCTTTCCCCTTACGCATGGTTATGTTGGGCGAAATCTCCACGTCCCTCTCCTCGGTTATTTTTGCACACGTTTTCAACATACGAGACAAATCGCCGACGATTTCATTACCGTTGGTAGTACCACTTGATTCACCTTGCAATGGATACACCTTGTTGGGGGAAACTTCACAAAAGTCGAAAAACCTACTGCTGCGAGTACAACTGTGGAACAACTTCCCTTTATTATCGGAATTCTTTTCTACCTCTAACCACCTAACGAAGCCCTCGCCACAGTATGGGCATCTCCGCTTTTTGGGGCATTCCTGCAACACGTGTCCTGACACCCTACAAGAATGACATAATCCCTTGTTCTTCCCGGCCATTCTGGGACAAAAAAGGGATAATCAAGTGACGAAGAGCAAACACTAAATGATTTCTCCCAAACAAACACTAAATAATTTATCAGCTGATAATACAAAGTTCAAAAAAAATGAGATCCATGAAGCAAAACATATAGATACCACATGACCAAATGAAGCAAAACTGAGTGAACAAACATCAGAATTATCAATAGCAAAATTCCATAACATCATCAGTAAAAGCTTCTACTTCCAAAATCTCCATGCCAAGCATTACTTCCTATTGCTCATGTTTTTATTTTCACCATTTCTTCACAATCAACATAATTTTCCCCGTCTCCATACCAGCACTATCCACTATCTACAGTCGTGCCAAAAAAACTGAAGGCGACGGGGATGGGGAAAATCTTATTTTTCCACAAATTCAATCATTCCTTAAATAATTATAAAGTGTGCGAAATGTTGGGTGTGGTGATTTCACAGTTGGCGACGGGGCAAGGGAAGTAAATGTTGATTTCGCAGAAGGCAACGGGGTTGGGGAAGAAATTAGCGCCCTTGGTGTCTTCCAAACACGAAACGAGAAGTGAATAGGTATTAACCTGGTTGATTTCACAGAAATTGTGCTCGCGATTTCACAGTTCGAGTAAAGCCTCAAGCGACCCGCAATAATCCCGTCGGAGGGTTGATTTCACTGGGTTTCACTTCAACTCGCGATTTCTGCCGGCGATTAACTATTTGCAAGAGAGGAGTACAAACGGTGGAGTTGATTTGGGGGGGGGGGGGGTTTATTCAAAAAAACGAGATCTAGAATTATTGGGAGTTTATTCAAAAACTTTCACGTGAGTTTATTCAAAATCTTTCACGTGATTTCACTGGCGGTCCCTCAGCCATTTTGTTTGACTATCTAAATGCCATTTCAGCATTAAGTAAAGATTTCGGGACAATTGTGTAGTACAAGTAGCTTTTTCCATACTTATATTCTTGATTTTTCGTCTAAGCTTTTGTCTTCAACTTTCCTTAATTAGTACATTTCATATTTGATAACATATTTCGTCAAAAAACTCATTCAAATGACATAAAAATGATTATTTGTCCATCATATTTAAAAAACAATTAATACAAAAGTGCAACAAAATATTCTTTTCTAATTTAAAACGCGTAAATATAATATTTCGACAGAAATCATATCAATGATTACATATAATAATTAATGAAAAGCTTGAAAATAAAAAAATCAACGAACAAAAGTTAAGAACATAAATATTACAGTGAACAAAGTTAGACCTTAAATATAATTAAAATATAGTGCAACAAATAAAAACGGTGGTGTCTATATACAAGTAGAATGAATATATAGTGTTTTAAAAAATAAATTTAATAAGGATAATGTTGAAATAAAATGTAGATGAATATAATAATTTTATAAAATTTTAATAAGGATAAATTTAGAGTGAGATATGTAAATAAGAATGGTGGATGAAAACGAAGAAATTACTCCTCTTTTAACCATAGATAAGAAGAACCACGCTTCAAAGCATAGTTTCATATAAGAAAATCAGATGCACACAATGCAGAAGCATGGTTTCACAGAAGAGAACCAGATGCACACAAATATTTTTCATTTAGGTGAACCCCATACATGTGAGTGGATGTAAACCTTGTTGGGTAATCCCTCCTAGTGAGGGAGCCCATTAAAATTGTTGAGTGGGCTTTTTCTTACTTAGGCCCAAAACGAATTGAATATATCAAGAAGGATACCAAACATACACATATACACAATTGAGATAGAGATAAAACGAGAGAAAGAGAGAGAAAGCTAAGGATTCGATTCTTTTTCCCAAAGATCCGAGGTTCATTTGTGGTCCGATTAAAATGAAATTTCAATACGTTGTTCCTGACGAAGAGGGCTACGTTTTGACCAAAATTGATCATTCAGATTCCGCTCCATTTCTCTGGGATTTGCACTCATTTTTTTGAGATTTTTCCTTATTATAGTGTATTAATTTTATGATGATGTTGTTGTTGATATCCAAGAACTATATGTATTCTTGATGTGTTGGTAGCCTTTGAAGTGTGTTCTAAAGAGGGTTAACCGTGTATCCCATTATTTTCATAGTGGAAAGCTTTTACTGGACTAGGTCCCGGAATTTTTCCTTCATACTGAAGGGTTTTCCTACTGGACAAATCATTGTGTTCAATTATTTATTT